CAGGAGGCGGGAGTGCCTGGCGCCCGCACGAGTGTCCTCGTCCCGGACGAACACCGACTCCTGCTCCGTCCTGGCCCGGACTCGGTCCGCCCGGCGATTGGGGGGCTGCGGACACGAAAGCAAACAGTTGGCGAGGCTCCGAGGAGCGACGGGCGGGCAGAGAGCGGTACCCGGGTTTTAGGAAGAGGAGGGGCAGGTGAGGGGGCCCCGCAGGTGGAGAGGAGGGGGCCCCGCAGGTGGACGTGAAGCTGGTGAAGAGCACCCAGGCCTCCAGGCTGTGGCTGCTGAGAAAGGAAGGGCTGATTGGCCGAATCCGGGATGTGGATGTGGATGTGGATGTGGATGTGGAGGATGTGGATGTGGATGTGGATGGGGTGGGAGGAGGTCAGAGGCCCGCTGCCCAGATCAGGGGGTTGTTTGTGTAGCTCCAGCCCCACCCCTCCTCCTCGGGGTTGGTTCTGGCACCAGGACCATCTGCCCTCCCCCCTGAGGCTGTGGCACTTGAAGGCCGTGATTCCCGAGTTACTGTCTTCAGATCGTGTGAACATGCCTTGGTGTTGAACAGGCTTTGGCCTGGAGCGTGTGTGTGTGTGTGTGTGTGTGTGTGTGTGTGTGTGTGTGTGTAATGATAGCTTTTTTTTTTTCATCATCAGAAAAATATAATAAAAACATAATAAAAGTATAGAACCTATTTTGTAGGCCTGAGAGTTAAATGAAGACTCCTGGCAGTTGCTAAACTGTTAAAACCTAACTTGTCCAAAGAGACTTGGAGCTTGCCCTTAAACTGTTCACACCAGTTGATTCAGTTTCGTTAAGAAATGTGCTGGTCAGGTGTGGCTCGGTGGTTGAGCATTGACCTATGAACCAGGAGGTCACCTTTCCATTCCCTGTCAGGGCACATGCCCCCGTTACAGGCTTGATCCCCAGTAGGGGGCGTGCAGGAGGCAGCCCATTGAGGATTCTCATTGATGTTTCTCTCTCCCTCCCTCTCTGAAGTCAATAAAAATACATTAAAAAAAAAAAAAAAAGAAACGTGAAGGTCAGGATCTCTGGCCACCGAACTATCTCACCAGGAACCACGTAGCCAGGCAAGGCGCGTCCTCCTGGGGCTGTCTCCCCGTCTCTCACCATCTAGCGAACAGCTGTACCAGGCGGGAAAGAATGTTCCTTTCGCTATGTCAGTGCCACTAACCAGGACTGGGAGGGTCTGGGTTGATACAAAGAAGGTGCTGTCACTGATGTCTGAGTTTTCCTTACGGAGAAAACTTCAGGAGAGGAAAACACTTATTGATTGATGGATTTGAGAGAGAGAGAGAGAGAGAGAGAGAGAGAGACATTGATTCCATCTACTTATGCATATATTGGTTCCACCTATTTATGGATTCATTGGTTGGTTCTTGTATGTGCCATGACTGGGGCTCGAACCCGCAACTTGGGCACATTGGGACGATATCCTAACAACTGAGCTCCCCGCCAGGGCGAAGAACACTTCTTGACCACAGGGAGCTGCCCGCTGTGCCAGTGCTCAGGCTGCCGTAGCGAGGCCCCGCAGAGCAGGCGGTTTTAACAACCGAAATTCATTCTGATGTGCTGGCCGAGGAGCAGTCCAGAATCAAGGTGTCAGCAGGCTGGTTTCTTCTGGGCCTGTCTCCGAGTGGGCGGCCGGCTCCTTCCTGAGTCCCCACCTGGTTGTCCGTCTGCCTGGGTGTCCTAACTCGTACGGACACCAGTCCTATGGGATTCGGGCCCACCCCTCTGACCTCATTTTAGCTTAATTACCTCTTTAAAGACCAGTCCATTTTGAGGTGCTAGGGGTTGGGACTTCAGTATAAATTGTGGGGCGTCACAGGTCAGCACCTGAACCCGCTTTCTGACTGGTTGGTCACATTGCCTCCCTCGTGGGCCCCGGTGCTGCATGGCTAAAACGGCACGGCTTGCCCCGGGCCCACCAAGCTTGGGACTAGTGGATACGGGATGCCCACCCGGCTGCCCCTTTCCCTCGCCAGGTGCTGCAGGCTGGCGTGTGCGTCCCTGCAGCGCCACGGGCTCCACACGGCGGCGAGGCACTGCAAGGCCCGCACCGGCGCCGAGCACCTGTGGCTGACGCGGCACCTGAAGGACCCATTCGTGAAGGCGGCGAAGGTGGAGAGTTACCGGTGTCGGAGCGCCTTCAAGCTTCTGGAGGTGGACACGAGGCACCGGATCCTGCGGCCCGGCCTCCGGGTGTTAGACTGCGGGGCGGCCCCCGGGGCGTGGAGCCAGGTGGCGGTGCAGAGAGTCAACGCTGCAGGCACAGGTGGGTCTTGCAGCTCGTGGGCCAGCGTGAACCAGAGGCCCGAGGACAGAGCGGTGGCGCGCTCTCTGAAGGTGGTTGTTTGGTAGTAATAATGGTAAAGACAGGACACCGACATGTTCAGAATGAAAGGTGCGGTGATGATCAGAATCGCCTCGGATCACCCCGCTCCTGTGTGTGGTGTGCGTCCCTTCAGAGTTCTTTTTTTGCACACACAACGCCGTACCCACGTGCTTTTCGGAATGCGCTTCCACCGCAGCCCTCTTGCTGCCGAGGAGCCTCACCCGGCCTTTTCCGCTGGATGGCAGTGCTGTCCCTGTGACCGCACCGGTTCCGGTCCTGCTGCTGAAGCCCTTGGGCTCCCCGAGGTCCCGCTGGGGCTGCTCCGCTCGCACAGCTGGGGCTCCGGACTCTCAACTCGGGCTCAACCCGAGGGACGCAGCTTTTATCTTTCATATTTTCGGGTTTTGTCAAAGGTGTTTTTTTTCTTTTCAATCCTCACCCAAGGTTATGCTTATTGATTTTAGAGAGAGGAGATTGGGGGAGGGATGGAGGGAGGGGAGACAGACATCGATATGAGAGAGAACATCGATTGGCTGCCTTCTTCTGCACTTACCCCAACCAGGGTTCGAACCCACAACATAGGTATGAACCCTGACTGGGAATCGAACCTGCAGCCTTTCCAGGTATGGGATGGCGCTCTAACCCACTGAGCCACACCAGCCTGGGCTGTCAAAGGTGTTTTTTTTTAAAATATGAAAAAGGTTCCCCTGATTAATAAACAGGTAAACCAACACCAACACCCATAGAACTTAGAAAACAACATCATCCTTTTGAACAGGTCCTGGGGGACTGTCCCCGCATCTAGGACATCAGGTCTTGGCGCTGCAGCGAGCCTTCTTGCTGTCTGCATTCCCAGCCGTAGAGTCTGAGGGTCCTGTGTGCTGGCATTACGTGACATTTGTGACAGTTCACCAACATCTCTCGAACCTGCAGCCTTTCCAGGTATGGGATGGCGCTCTAACCAACTGAAACTGAGGTAGAGGAGTGGGCCTGCCTGGTTCACTCAGCAGCCACTCCACCTGGCTGGGTGGGGCGCCGTGGGGCTTGAGAATTGGCATAAAAACATTGTTTTTAGTCCCCATGCTTGTTGACCGAGTGACTGAACTTGGGTCAGAAACGTCCCTGGCGCCACCGCAGTGGTTCCTGTCCCCGACGGGCTGTGTGGAGGAGCAGGAGGCCACGGTGGACGTGGGGAGAAGTGGAAGCAGAGCGTGTGGGCGAGCAGCTTGCTTTCTCTTCCTCCCGGAAGTTGCCCAACTGCACCCAGAGCGATTTGCCTCGGTGGACACTCCTGCGGGGGTGACGCGATGCTCGGGGAAAGCACCGAGCCGGCCAGCCGCTGCGGGAAGTCGGATGTGGGCAGGGACCACTCTTGGCCCTTATTCTACATCTGCCCTTTCCCCCATATCTCAGCCTCTTTTTAATGGAAAGAATTCGGCTGAAGCTACAGACAGACTTGTTGGTTTAACCCAGGGGCACTTTACATGCTAGTGTAACAGTTTCTATCTTCGCTCACCAGGTGAGCAGTCTCCGGGATGAAATGAAATGACATCAGAGCTGGAGACGCGTCCGGGGTATGGCCCCAGGCCTGCCTTCCACTCGGACAGCACTGGCCTCTCTGGGCCGGTTTTCTCAGATGTGGCGGGAAGCACCCCCACTCCCCCACGTGTGCACGTGCACGTGCAGGATGTAGAGAGTGGGAAACGGCCCGTGTCCGCCTGTCTGCACATTAGCTCTTTTCCTTGGTCCTATTTCACGACTTCGCGGCATGTGCTTTTGTGGGAAGAATCGGTGTAAATAACTAATTCCCAGTTTCTTCCTTAGATCCCAGCAGTCCCGTGGGCTTTGTGCTCGGGGTCGATCTTCTTCACATCGCCCCCCTGGGAGGAGCGACTTTCGTGTGCCCCGCTGACGTGACGGACCCACGGACCCTGCAGAGAATCCAAGAGCTGCTTCCCGGCGGGAGAGCAGACGTGGTTCTGAGTGACATGGCCCCCAATGCACAGGGATCCGGGGCCTGGACCACGACAGGCTCATTGGCCTGTGCTGGTCGCTTCTGGACATGGCTCCAGACGTGCTATGTCCTGGGGGCACATTTCTCTGTAAAACCTGGGCTGGAAGTCAAAGCCACCGGTTACAGAAGAGACTGACGGAGGAATTCCAGAGCGTGAGGACCCTGAAGCCTGAGGCCAGCAGGAAGGAGTCCTCAGAGGTGTACTTCTTGGCCACACAGTACCGCAGAGCCCGGGGGCCCGGGGGGGCCTGAGCTCCCGCCCGCCCTTGCAGGGCCTGGTCACTGCACACGTTGCTGCACTCTGCGGGGCTGGGAGGCCCGGGCTTCACCTGGGAGGCAGCGGGCAGGACAAGTGGGGGTCTTTACAAACCGAAAAGAGGACAGAACTGTATTCAGTGGCCATGATAAAAAACGGTCTGTCACGTGATTTGTGAAGAGGAAGTTATCCTGAGAGAGGGACAAAGATGAAAGGACGAGCCGACAGGCTGGGCAGGGAAGGATAAACACAGGCCGAGCCGGAGAGCCGCGCCTGCCACGCTCGTCTTACAGGCTGAAGTGGCCACAGAGCAGGGTCCGCCTCTGCTCCGGACAGCACAGGTTTCCAGCTGAGATTTTGGCTCTACAGCGTCATGTAGGAAAATCTGAAAATCCCGTCTGGGGACTAAAGTCCTTCTGGTGGATGATCCGGAGATGCACCCACCCTTCAAGCAGCGATGTCCCCAGGCAGTTAGGGAGACACTGGTGTGAACTGTGCATGGGCGGGTGTGCTTTGGGTTTTGCTGGAAAGACGGCTGTAATACTCGGGCTCCCTGGACAGTAAAGGTCATTGCCAAAGCAGGCAGCATGCGTGTGATCTCCCTTTCCCTCCCGGGCACTGAGGCCGCTTTATAAACAGGTAGGCTGTATTGCCTGAGGGATTCCCATGCTTTTAAGTTTGCTTTTTAAAAAAAAAAATATTTTTTTTTATTGATGTCAGAGAGGAAGGAGAGGGAGAGATAGAAACATCAATGATGAGAATCATTGATGGGCTGCCTCCTGCACGCCCCCCACTGGGGATTGAGCCCACACCCCAGGCATGTGCCCTGACTGGAATCGAACCCAGGAACTTTCAGTCCGCGGGCTGATGCTGTATCCACTGAGCCACACCAGCCAGGGCTTAAGTTTGCTTTTTTTTATATATATATATATTTTATTGATTTTTCAGAGAGGAAGGGGGAGGGACAGAGAGCCAGAAACATCGATGAGAGAGAAACATCGATCAGCTGCCTCCTGCACACTCCCCACTGGGGATGTGCCCGCAACCAAGGTACATGCCCTTGACCAGAACCGAACCCGGGACCCTTAAGTCCACAGGCCGATGCTCTATCCACTGAGCCAAACCGGTCAGGCTAAGTTTGCTTTTTAAAACCGTTCCTGGTTTCTTCAAAGCCCTTTCCTGGGGGTGTGCTCGCCCCCCAGGCAGTGATGAGTGGGCCCAGGGCTCCCTGGGTCCGTGGCTGAGTCCAGCGGCCAGGAGTGGGCTGCAGGGGAATTCCGGTTCTCATGCCATTGCCGGCGTCGATGGTTCAAGTCCGGGACCCCTCCTGCTGCTTCCGTCACGCGCTCCCCTTCCGGTCCGTTTATTTTGGGGCCACGTGTCTCACCCTCTGGAAAAAGGGCACTCAGTCCACACCCCAAGCCGTGGGCAGCGGCGGGCAGCGCTGGGGGAGGAATCACGCTCCCGGACAGACCCGGGTGGCTGTCACGCGGGCGGGGCGCGGCGCTGGCTGAGGCCTGGAGGACAGGGCGCCGGGAGGACGGTGGAGCGGACTGGCACCCTCCCCCCGGGCCCGAGGAGAGGGGGGCCGCGGGGGGTCAGGGAAGTACCGGGGCGAACCGGGGTCGCAGCAGCGGAGCGCGCACAGGTCCGGCCCTGCGGGGCGGGCGATGCCACACAACACGGTGCGAGGTAGCGCCCGGTCGAAGCCCGTCTTCCGTGGGGCGGGGCGCCCTGACGGCCCCGCGGGGAAGCGGGTGCAGGAGCTCGCGCGGAGCCCCAGGACCGGCCGCCGCGCAGCCTGGCAGCTTCCGGCCGGCCCCGCCGGATCTCGCGAGAGCTCAGCCGCAGATCTCGCGAGAGCGCAGGCGCAGAGGAGGGAGATCTGAGCGGCGACAGCGGCAGGAGCGGACCTGGCTGTGAGTGGGTGCAGGCTGCGACTGGCGAGCGTGGCCGGGGCGGGGTTGTGCAGCCGGCGCCCGGGTCGGTGTCGGGGTCGGGGTAGGGGTCGGGCAGGGCTGCCCGCTGAGCTGAGGCTGGGGCCCGCCCCTTCGTCCTTCTCCGGCCCGCGGATTCGGACCCGGCGACCCTCGGCCCCGCTCCCCTCCTCCGTCCCCGCACCCCCTCTCCGTCCCCGCACCCCCTCCTTAGTCCCCGTTCCTCCATTCGGCTCCCCCTCCTCCGTCCCTGCTTCCCCTCTGTGCCCCCGGCTCCCCTGCAGCCAGGTCTGCCTGCCACCGCCTCCGGTCCTGCTGTCCATCTGAGCCGGGGCCAGTCCAGCCCCAGCTGCCCTCAGCGCCCCCTGCGGGTCCCCCAGGGCGTCTCGTGGGAGGAGCAGCTGGACAGGCTGGGGCCCGAGGGCCGAGGGCGCTGAGAAGAGCTGAGAGCTGCGCCTGGGGTCCGGGGGGGAGGGGGGGACGGGGAGGAGCGGGCCTCTCGGTGGAGCCCTGGCAGGGCTGGCCCGGGGCACCTGCGGGAGCCGCGTCCATACCTGGGTGCGTTCACAGCAGCAGCAGAGCCCGTGGTGGGCGGGCGGTGGGCGTCCTGCAGTCTCGTAGCTTCTGCCCAGGACCAGAGGGGCCTCGGAGAGCAGGGAGTGTGGGCGCCCAGCTCAGGCCACTGGACCGCAGTGTCCGTCCAGCGGTCGGGTTGGATGAGGAGGACGGAGTTGAGCTGCGGCCTTAGGGGCGTGCGGAGCGGCCTAGTTCCAGGCAGTTGAAAGCGTGTGTGTTCTTTTCATCCTAGAGCAACACACGCTCCAGTCCTTAAGGACGGCATCTTGAGAGGAGGTAGTGGCTAAATTTCCCATCTCGGATGGAAGGAACGGCCTGGTCTCATACGGCAAATGCAAGGGTTAGCCCGGCTGCCTCCCGCCCGCCGGCCTGCATCTGCGACGCTCAAGGCAGAGCGAGCGCGGGTCCATTTTCCACGTGTAGTCTGGCAGGAGGCGAGAGGACAGGCCTGTGCCGGGTGGGAATGGCGGCCTGGGGAGACAGGGTTCTGCCTGGTGGAGGCCGAGGTCCTAGTTAGTGGGACATTCCGGGTCCAAGTAAGATTCCTCACCTGATGGCTTGTTGGTTGGTTTGTTTGGGGGGTGGGATGGGGGGTGGGCGGGGAAGCCTGCGAGCCAGCTTTTCTAAGGGGAAACACTTCTCGCCTGTGGAAGTCACGCTGCTGCTGGGAACTGCCCCTCTGCTCTCTCGCTCCCTCGCTCCCTCGCTCCCTCGCTCCCTCGCTCGCTGGGCCGGCTGGGTGCCGGCTGGTGTGAGGCCGGAGGAAGCCGGCGTTTGGGGATGCGGGTGCTTGGCTGCTGCTTGTCCTCAGCCTCCGTGCCGGGCTCGCGGAGCAGCGGACCTGCAGGCCAGGCAGGCCCGGCGCAGTCTCCCTCGCCCCTTCCTGAGAGGCCTCAGGGCGGTTCGGAGCAGCATGAGAGTCAGACTGTTGGGCAGCGGTTGTCCCTCTGCCGCTTGAAGACTGGTGGACACTGTCATCCTCACCACTGCTTGGCAAGGAGGGTTCACGATGTCAGTGTACAGATGAGGAGACTGAGGCTCGAGGAGTCTGGGTGCCAGTCAATGTCAAATATCTTTCTTTTTGGTATTTACTTGGTTGAAAATAGTAGTAATTGACTAGTCACTAGAGGCCGGATGCATGAAATTCGTGCCGGAGTAGGCCTGCCTTCCCCTGGGTGCCGGCACCGGCTTCCCTCTGCCCGCCGGCAGGCACCCGGGACCCGGGCTTCCCTCGCAGCCCGGCTTCATCCGGAAGGACGTCTGGTCTAATGAGCATATTATGCTTTTATTATTATAGACTCGAGGCCCGGTGTACGAAATGCGTGCATGGGTAGGGTCCCTGGGCCTGGCTGGCGATCAGGGCCAGCTGGGGCCCCTCCTTCCCCTGGCTGCCAGCTGCTGGCTGCCGGCTGGAGCCTTCCTTCATTCCATGCTGCCCCCTGGTGGTCAGCCCACATCATAGCGAGCGGTTGAACTCCGGTCTGTTGAACTCCCAAGGGGACAATTTGCATATTAGCGTTTTATTATATAGGACTGTTAACAAGTCAGCATTACTGTGTGTTTTGTTTGTGATTCCCAGAAACTGGGTTCTCTGTGAGTGTGGCTGTGGGAGGTACCACCTGCCTGCTGCACCCGCCCCCCACCCCCAGCTGTCTGTCTGTCCCGCTGCTGCACAGGTCGTCTCTGACGTTCCGCGGCTTGGGGGCATGTCAGCTTTCTGTGCCTCTTTCTTCTCTGGCACATCAGCAGTTGGGCTCCCAGGTGACCCTGGAGAACGGGGCTGTGGGCCCTGGCCTGCCTGAAGGGCTCTGAGAGAGCAAGCCGGGGCGGGCACCGTGGGGCGGGCAGCCGTGGCACTGAAGTTACGTGGGAAGGCTCCCGTGACCCCTCCCTTGTCTTCCTCCAGAGAGGCGTGGCCATGGAGGACCTGGGGGAAAACACCACGGTCCTGTCCTCCCTGAGGTCCTTGAACAACTTCATCTCTCAGCGCGTGGACGGAGGAGCGGGCCTGGATGCTGCGGCCTCGGCCCCAGGGTCCCTGCAGATGCAGTACCAGCAGAGCATGCAGGTGAGTGTCGTGGGGAGCGGCTCTCTGGCTGAAGACACCTGTCCGTAGGTGTCGGTGTCGCTCAGGTGAGTGCCCTGCGCGGGATCGGGATCTCTTACGGAAAACACGGCCCTTAGATAGGCTGGGTCATCCTCATGCCGTGGCCTCGCGCGCCGCTGTGTCTGGGGGTGAGATGCCATAGGGACGTGGCTCTTGTGTGCCTGCTGCCTGTGGTGAAATTGGTTTCCTGACACGTCGTTTTGCTGAACGTCGTAGGACCCGTGGCCACTGCTGACGTTAAGCGGGCACTTCCTGTAGCTGCGGCAGGTCAGTGTCTCCTCAGCCTAGAGGCCAGCTGGCCGTCTCCCGGGTCTCTAACGTGGGCGTTCGGAGTTCGTGTGCTCACGGGAATGAGCTCACAGGCCCTAGTGACGGGGGTTGGGAAGCTGGCTGTTGGTTTAGTTGAGGAAAACCCACACGGCCTGGCTCCCTCGAAGGTGGACGCCTGGGAAGGGCGGCCGTGCGGTGACAGGTCCGTGGCTGGCCTGGCGGGACAGCAGGGGAGTGAGTGAAGCTTGGGGATGTGATGGCCTCAGGCTGCGGGAGCGTTTGCAGATCTTGGCTCCCGGCTGCTACGGGGTGATTTTGACAGTTTTACTCTGATTATAGTGCTACTTTGCTCTGTTCCAAGTTCTCGGCATTGCTCCCTGTAGACAGCTGTAAAGGGGTCAGGCCTCCTGAAGGACGTCAGCTTCTAAGGACTTGGGGGGTCCGTCCCAGTGGGGGCAGAACCAGGGGGTCCGCACAGGCTTGCCCAGGCCTGCCGCCCCTACCGGCTGCTGCGTCCCGCCTCCCCTGTGGGCCCTCGCGTTGCTGGGGCTGTTCAGCGACGGTCTCTGTGTCAGCCGTGGGTGCTGCTGGGCCGTGGGGTGATAGTGTCCTGGGAGCCCAGAGGCTCAGGTGCATTCATTTGCTGAGGAATTGAGTTACTCTCTATTTGTTAGTAGTGGACTGAGTTGCTCATTCCCATTTTTTGGCAAGGACTCTTATTTATTTTGAAATTAGTTTTCTTGTGTTTAAACACTTTTTACTGAAATAACAGTGGCAGTAGGTTATACTGTGATCCTTGCCCACTGGTTGAAAAAAGTAATAATTTTATTGATGCACATGACTGGGGATGTTTGGCTTGTCAGGACCATAAATGTAGAATCGTGGAGGCCCCCAGTTCCCACTCAGTTAGCGCTGGGAGGGTCAGTGAGTGAGTGACAGCAGAGTGAGCTGGTTCGAGATGCGGCAGTACCTGCCTGGTACCCTGGCCCGTCACAGGGCTTCCCTCAGTGCTTCTCTCTCCCAGCCGCCTCCCCAGCTGTAGGTCTGTATTTCCTGCCCACCAGGCCCCTCCTCCCTCCTTTGAATAAAATTCCTGTTTCCAATTGAAAGTGTTCACAGTTTGCTCTGCTACACATCAGTGTTTGTGTAAATATAAAATGTTCCAGCTGGCCGGTGTGGTTCAGTGGTTGAGCATTGACCCAGAACTGGGAGGTCACAGTTCATTCCCCGTCAGGGCACTTGCCCGGATTGCTGGCTCCATCCCCAGTGGGGGGCGTACAGGAGGCAGCCGATCCGTGACTGTCATCATCGATGTTTCTGTTTCCCTCTCCCATCCTCAAAAAAAATAATGTTTCAGTTACTTTCCTTCAAATGCAGTCAACATTCCAGGAAGATGAGGCCCACGGATCACGTGTCCCTGGGACTCCTGGTCCCCGTGTGCTGGGCCACCTGCAGCCACAGAGTGAGGCGGGGAGGCCAGCCGGTCAACCAGTGTTTGAAGGAGGGTAGAGTTAGGAACCTCCATATGCCAGCAGGTGGGCAGTGCAGTGAGAGAAACAGCAGGGGGGAAGGAAGTGTGGACTTGGGCCCTCACCAATGCGGAGGGCGAGGGGGTGGGAGTTCCCTTTCTCTGGCCAGATTTCTCACCCGTGGCTCTCTGACATTTGGGGCTGGATAGTTTTTGTTTTGCTGGACTGTCCTGTGCACTGACTTTCCTGTTGCTAACCGTCTCTGGCCTCTGCACACTAGGTGTCAGGAACACACACATTCCCACCTCCGCTGTGACAGTCGGCAATGCCTCTGGACCTTGTCAAGTGCCCCTGGTTGAAAAAAGAACCATGTGCTCTAGCCCAGAGCTTCTCAGACTCTAATGTGCATGTGAGCCCCTGAGAGTGCGTGTGAGAGGACGATTCTGATTTGGTGTTTCTGGGGTGCACCCAAGACTCGGCATGGCTGTTGAGTGTCCAGGGGTGCTGTGTGCTGGATCGCAGGCCATTGTGGAGTGCTCAGGTGCTAGCCCACCTGGAGAAGAGGCCCTTCGAGTCGGTGATTCTTTGAAACCATTTGGTGTGTCTTCTGAGTCCCTTCAAGGCTGGAACTCACCTCTGTTTACCTGCCGTCTGTGGGGGGCAGACTCCTAAGGTGGTCCTTGATGGACCCATTTAACCCAAAACTGACTAGGGGTTGTGGCAACGAGATTTGCAAGTATAATTATGATCTCAAGTCGGAGAACCTCGGTGGGCCTTTACAGTGTGGTGGAGAGAGGAGACCAGAGCTCAGGTGCGGAGCAGGAGAGGGAACCACACGTGGGAGACTCCCTGCGTGGCTGTGGAGCTGGAGAGGCCGTGGGGCAGGAGCTGTGGGTGGCCTTCCAGAGCCACAGCAGCCCATGGTGACAGCCAGCGAGGACATGGGTCCCCAGTCCCACGGCCACGTGCGTGTGAGAGAGGGTCCTGAGTCCAGGTGAGCACACAGCCCTACGGACGCGTGGTCAGCTGTGTGCCTGCCTTCTGACCGGCTGGACTGATACTCACGGTACTGGTGTTTACACAGCTAGTTTGGTAACTTGTTACACAGCAACGGGAGACCCTTTTCTTAATATACTCTCTTTTTTAAAAAACCCCTTTTTAAAAAATATATTTTTATTGATTTCAGAGAGGAAGGGAGGAGGAGAGATACATGGAAACATCAGTGATGAGAGAGAATCATTGATTGGCTGCCTCCTGGAGCGATCCTGCAACCCGGGCATATGCCCTGACCGGGAATCGAACTGTGACCCCCTAGGCCACAGGTCGATGCTCAGCCACTGAGCCACACTGGCCGGACTGCCCTCTTTTATAAAACGAGCCCACACACTGTCATCTTAAACATACCCTCCTCTTCAACTCTGTCATCTTTGCCCGTCACCCAACTCGGGAGCCAGCTTCTTCCTTCTTCCCCGGGGCTGGTGTGGGCCATGTTGGGAGCCGGTGCCCCAGGAGTGAGTGTTGAATGAGCCACTCGCCTGTTTGATGCGGCGGCTCCTGAGGATTCTCTTTCCTTTGCATGGCCTGGCCAGCTGGAAGAGCGGGCGGAGCAGATCCGGTCCAAGTCTCACATCATCCAGGTGGAGCGGGAGAAGATGCAGATGCAGCTGAGTCACAAGAGAGCTCGCGTGGAGCTGGAGCGAGCGGCCAGCACCAGCGCCCGGAGCTATGAGGTGAGTGCAGGTGGCCAGCTCCTGAGACCATGAGAAACGAGAGTCACACGGGCCAGGAGCCCAGGTGCCCTGCCTTCTGAGGCCCTGGTGTCAGCTGTGCTCCCCTCCTCGCGGAGGCTGTGCAGGTGCTGGTGCTGCAGGCAGTCCTCCCCGTGGGCCTCCTGGCTCCCCTCCCTCTGGAAGGACTGGGATGAGGATCCGGCAGAAATACCAGGTGGTGTGGGGTCAGAGGCTCAGAAAGTCGCCAGGTTGCGTAGGGGTCTCCAGCCCAGGCTGGGTCTTGCTTAAATGGTTATCGGGCCTCAGAGCAGGGAGCCCCAATCTCGGGGCTGTTGCCTGTTGCCTGGCTCACCCATGGCAGGCTGGGAAAGCACACTTCCTTACCCAGTGCTTCCTCGGCTGGGATCACAGCTCTTGGCAGGGTGTCGGGAAGCACTGTGAGGAGTGGAGACGCCGCGAGGATCCAGGCAGCGCATCTGGTCTGGGCCTCCTGAGGGTGGATGTCTGCCCGTGCTTGCACACAGGGCACGTGCGCCTTCCTTGTCCCTCTAAATGGCCGGGGGCTGTGAGGGTGTGCTGTGACGGCATGTTTGACCCGGTGGACAGGTCCTGGCCGTGGTGTGCTGCGTGGGCTCAGTAGCTCAGAGCTGTGGCCTGTGGCTGGGGCACCTCAGCCTCGGCCTTGGCATTGGCCCAGGTGCTGCTCCGGGTGGTGCTTCTCTGTGGAGGGACGTGATGTTGTGGGTTGTCCTAGGAGGGACCATCCTGGGGAACCGGTGGGAAGCAGGAGGGAGAGGCTGTGGGACTCTTAAAGTGTTGGCGTGCCCTTACGGGTAGGGAGGTGGCACAGGCCATGGACTGCGGGCACTGCGGGCGTGGTGGCCCTGCCTGCCTCTCAGCGGACTGGGATGTGGGCTGCTGGAGTGTCTCTGGGCCCTGAGTCCCATGAGGACAGGGCCTGTCCTGACTGCCCTGGGCCCCCAGTGTCCAGAACCGGCTGTGGCACCTAAAGGTGCTCGGCAACCCTTTGCCAAGTGAGGGGTGGCTGCAGGGTCACCAGACGTCTTTCTCCGGGAAATCCAAGGGCAGGGCCGCCTGAGCTTAGTCCTGGGGCCGCACTGAACACAGTCCCCAGAGGCCTTTCCTTCCGGCCGCAGGCGGGCTGCAGGCGACCCCGGGCCGCTGAGTCAGGGGCTTTAAATTGCTCCGTTGAGTCTTGGGCATCTGCAGTGGTTTTTCAGGACTGTCATTGGCAGTGGGGGGCCGGGGCGGGGACAGGTGGGCGGGAATCTCAGCCCTCCCACCTGGAAATAGCTATTAGATGGTGAGATGCTGGTGTCTGGGGACCTGCCCACGTGCGCCAGGAGTGGCCGCCGGTTGGAGATGCCGCACCTGCCTGTGGGTGCAGCCGGAGCACCTCGCTGCTGCGCCTGCCTGGACGGTGCCTTTGATGCAGGGCCTCCTCGTAAGGCAGCCCTGGAGTGCCTGGCGGTCTTTGGAGGAGCTTCTGCAGCTCAGCTTTCTGGCCAGAGGTCCGAGGCCGCAGGGTCTGGCTCCATGGAACCAGGCTTGGCCCCAGCACTCTGGTCCCACTTTCTAGTCCCACGGCTTCTTAGGCTGAAAGGAACCACCTCCGTGGCCGGGTCGACCTTTATGACCCCAGGGATCATCAGAGGGAGGAGTCTTAGTTCCACCCACTCCTCACCAGCACAAGCCATGCTGCCCTGAGGGTGGAGTACAGGGTGGCTCTGCAGGTTGGCGGGAGATAAGGTGCCCGGGTGGTAGAGGGGGCCCAGGGTCAGCTGCCCCTGCCTGCAGGCCACCTGTCCTGCCCGGGCGCATGCCAGCTGTTGCGATGGTCGTCTGTGTGCAGTCAGTGAAAGCTGCTGGGGCTGCCAGAGCCCGGGCGCTTCTTTCCCAGGTCCAGTCTGAACGTGGGTTTCACCCTCACCTCCCCTGCAGATGGTCTCCTGGACCCTGACACTGGGTGGTACATCTCAGAGCCCGGGGGTCCCTGCGCCAGAGCCCTGACGCAGCTTTTTCCGGGCTCCTGCTGGGTCTTCTCTGGGCCGGGGGCCTGGCCTGCCCTGACCGTGCTGACCAGGTCCTCCCTCTGGCAGCGTGAGGTGGACCGCAACCAGGAGCTCCTGACCCGGATTCGGCAGCTCCAGGACCGCGAGGCGGAGGCGGAGGAGAAGATGAAGGAGCAGCTGGAGCACCACCGGCAGTGCAAGCAGAGCCTGGACGCCGCCAACAAGAGGCTGCGGGAGAAGGAGGACGGCCTGGCCGAGGCTGGCGAGGTGCGGGCGCGTTTCGTGCTTTTCGTTCTGCGCCTCTAGTTCTTTCCATCGTCGTCATAGCAAAGCTACCGATTTTCCGTCCTGTGGTTTTCAGTGACTCAGGTGAACACCTTTCAGTCTCTGTAATCACGGTTGTTCATGGTTGGGGAACTGTTTCTTGGCGTTTTCAGAGCTTTGGTTTTTCATACACACCCCGTTCATGACCATGTGTAGCAGAGAGCTTCGTGCTGCCACTTTTTGCTGCCCTTGACTATGTCATTGGAGCCATTCCTCGCAGGGCCCAGTCGCCGTGGGCCCTGCGCTGACAGCGGGCGGGGGTTCTAGTTCCGCTGGGTCTCACCTGGCATGGGGGTGCGGTTTTCTGGAAATTCTTGTGGATGTTTCCTTTTCCCCCAGAAGGTGTAGGTAGTTGCCTCTGGATTTGCATTTCTTTGATTGTCAGTGTGTGTGTCAGTGTATGTGTGTGTGCGCGCGCATGTGTGTGTGTCAGTGTGTGCTTGTGTGTGCGTGTGTGTCAGCATATGTGTCAGTGTGGGCTTGTGTGTGCTTGTGTGTGTGAGCGTGTATGTGTGCGCGCGCGTGTGTGTCAGCATGTGTGTGTGTCAGTGTGTGTCAGCATGCGTATCTGTTGGCATCTGAGAGCACCTTTGAAACCAGAGCGTCAGTGAACTGTAGTGTCCTTTCGTCTCCATCAAGTGAAGGCTGTCTCCATTTTAGAAACAGCCACAACGTTGATGCTGGTGGAAATTGGACTCTTCTGACCTTTCCGGTCCCTTCGCTGTGCTGCTCAGGATCACAGGCTGCGAGGAAGGAGAGGAAACTCGGGGGGAGGTGGGGAGGCAGGGAGGTGGCATGGAGCACGTGGCAGCTTGGGAAGCAGGCCCGGGCTATTCTTGCCCTGGCGACACTGGAGAACATGTTAGGGTGTTTGTACATGTGTCTTCTGACACGGATGTTGGCAGGAGGGGAGGGGCTCTGCCTCAGGAAGGCTCTCCTCCCGCCCCTGCTGTGCTTACCTGTGCTCTCCCTCCCCTCCTGCTGGGTCTGGAGGCAGGTGTGGGGGTCTCCGGGGAAGGGCAAGAGGGGGAGACCCTACCACACAAGGTGCGAGGTGGGTGCCACAGGGGGCCCAGCGTGGGAAAGGGCGTGGCCAGTGGGGACGCAGGACCACGCAGGTCGCTTCTCTTACTCTTCACCTCTGAGGAGCCTTCCCAGTCACTCGAGGCAAAGTCACAACCGCACCACCCACTGCCTTCTCTCGTCTCGGTGCCCTGGGTCCTGTGCTCGCCACTCTCCAGGCAGCTCCTGAGGGCCTGGCTCACCCACAGCACCCACCCGGCTCGCCACACCACCTCCAGACCCTGGTGCCCACGGTGCCGGGCCACGCCTGTTCATGGAGTGCAGGCAGGCTTCTCAGAGGGTGTGCTCCTTGTTTAGTATTTTAGTGCCTTCATTCTGTGTGGTTCCCAGATTGGTAGTCGCTGTTGTAAGAGCAAACCATGGAGATCAGTGGAGCGGGGGCCGCTGGCCTAGGCCGCCCCGTCAGCCTCCTGGAAGGACGTGGGGTGGTGCTGCTGACCCTTTGAGTGGTCCCGGTGCCTGGGGAATGAGTGCGGTGGCCTCCTTGTCTGCAGGGTGCCCCAGGGTCTGCCAGGTGTCACCCTCCGTGCTGAGCTGTCAGTCCCTTTCTTGCCCTGCTTGTAGGATCCTTCGGGTTGACGTCTGGCTCCCAGGGGCTGCTGTGGCTGGCACTCTCGCCTGGAGCGCTCCAATCGCCATGGCATTCTGCCGGCTCCCCCATTCTGTGTGACGTTTGTGGTGTCATTCTGAGGACAGCCTCAGTCCCCCTTGTCCGGCTTCTTGGGGGCGCCTGGCTGTGGCTTCCAGTGGCATCTTCAGCACCGTGGGAAGTGGCTCGGTGGGTTAGGGAAGGAGCTCCAGGCGGGGAGGCGGGAGCAAGGTGTGCAGGGAGGGCTGTGCAGAGCGCGCCAGGGACGGGAGGGTCCGAGGTGATGGGATGTGGGTGTGTGGATGCTTCACGGGAAGGGCTGTCACGGGGGTGTGAGGCTGGGGCCCGTCTTGGCCAGCAGCAGTTCTTGCTCCTGAGACTGTTGTCACGTGACCCAGCCTCTCCTGTGGGCTCATGGGAGACTCAAGGTGGCGTGGCTGGTGCTCGGGGCATCTGGTCCTGGCCTCTGAGGGGCAGATGGCTCTGTCCCTGCCTCGGGAGTGGGATGGGGGGCCAGGCTCCTGTGAGGCCTTGGTCCTCTTCTCTGGGCGGCTCCCGTGCATCCGCGGGCCGGCGGCCTCAGTGGGCGCTGTGGGTTCTGCTCTGCTTTTAGACCATCAGCGAGTTAAAGGGCAGGATCTCGGAGCTGCAGTGGAGTGTCATGAACCAGGAGATGCAGGTGAAGGGCCTGGAGTCCGAGAAGCAGGAGCTGCAGGAGCAGCTGGATCTGCAGCTCAGGTGAGTGTGGAGCCTGCGCACCTGCAGCTGCGGGCATGGGCTGAGCCGTATCCCCGTTAACTGTGGCAGACACAGGCTTGTCCTGCCCCCCCTGCGGGTGCGCTCCGGCCTCGCGAATGTGGTGTGTCCCAGAGCCCTGAGGCTCCACAGGTGCCCTTCAGTGCTCCCCACCCCTAGGCTCTTGGGGACAGACCTGAGGCCAGGACCGTACATGGTGTCAGAACAGAGTGTCATTTTAAACGTCCTGAGCACGAGGAGGGAGCAGCCAGGGCGGGAGCTTTGGAGAAGACATTGCATTGGAGCTTTTTAATTTTTTTTCTTAATATATTTTTATTGATTTCAGAGAGGAAGGGAGAGGGAGAGAGGGGGGTAGAAACATCAGTAATGAGAGAGAATCATTGATTGGCTGTCTCCTGCACGCCTTCTACTGGGGATCAAGCCCACAACCTGGGCATGTGCCCTGACCTGGGATCGAGCCCTGACCTCCTGGTTCATAGGTCGATGCTCAGCCACTGAGCCACGGCAGCCAGGCTGGAGCTCAGTTTTAAAGGCCACGGTGGACATCTGTGGGCGGTGGGAGGCGGGCGATAAAGGACATTCCAGAAGACCGCATTCTGAGCAAAGGCACGGAGAGGGAAAACTCACTCGCGGAGTTGAGGTCAGAGGCCTGAAGGCTCCTGAAGAATTTGGCCTTTGTCTTCGCAGATGTTGCCTAGGGGGAGTTCTGGCCACTTGGCGGAGTCATGATCTGTCAGGAGTGGGTCTCTGCTGTGGCTGTGCCGGGGCCAGCAGCCAGAGCTGCAGTGTGAGCAGATGTGGGGCTGGAGAACGGGGTGCTGCAGCCGGAGGTCCCTGCCAGGTCTTCATAGCATCCTCACGTGGAAACGAAGCGGGGCACTGTTTCCATATGAAATGTTGTCATATTGTTCCGCCCCATCAGTTCCTAGACTCCCTGCTCTCTCTCGCCTCTGGCTGGTGGTCTGGGCTCCCCACCCAGCCTGTCCTGAGCAGACGGGCCCCCGAGGCACTGGCAGGGGTTTGCAAGGGTTTGCATCCAGACTCGGGCTGTCCCTGAGGGGAGTGTGGGCAGTATGTGTGTACATGTATGTGTGTGCATGTGCATACGAGTATGTGTGCACGCATATGTGTGAGTGTGTGCACGTGTGTCTGCACTAGAGAGCTTTAGGATAAGGGGATTGTTGGCCTCATCACATACTACATTCTGCATGTGATCCACTTTTCTCTTCATAGAAAATGGCAGGAAGCTAATCAGAAGATTCAGGAACTCCAGGCTGGCCAAGAAGCCAGGGCAGAGCAGGAGCAGAAAATCAAGGTGAGTTGCTCCGTTTCAGTCCCTGGACTGTGTGGTAGGTGTCCCAGTGGTGGTTTCAGCCCTTTTTCCCCCCGTAGGTGTTTCTGAACTGGGCTGTGCTCTTGGCATATGGGGACAGTGGCTGCTGCGCCCACGGTGCCATGTACACTGACCGTCTTCTCGTGTGTTAGGCTGTGCTAGCTGGTAGGATCCACAGGGAATAGAGACAGATTCTGCTCCCAGGATGAAGTCACAGGAAGAGAGTGAACATGCGATAGTTCAGGTGGTGTGAGCTGGGAAGTGATAGGTCGCGGGGAGAGGTCGTCCGGCTCGTGTGTGATGGGTCTCAGTGCAGGGCGCCTGGCTCTGACGTTCGGCTGTGCTGCTGCATGAGGGAGGCCCTGCCGGGCAGACAGCGACTGCAGGCCCCTGGGTGGCCGCCGCCACCGCCTTGAGTGACACCCACACTCTGTGCCCCGCCTCATGGGCTGCCTCCCTGCTCCGTCCTGTCTGCTTCCCTCTCCAGCTGCTCCGCCCCATCAGTTCCTAGACGCCCTGCTCTCTCTCGCCTCTGGTCTCTCACAGGCTGTTCTCTGTGGCCACTGTGCTTACCTGTCTCCCCCAGCCTTCTCCCCACCCTCACCACTTCATACATCCCCACTGCCTCTTTTTTTTTTAAAATATATTTTTATTGATTTCAGAGAAGAAGGGAGAGAGAAACATCAATGATGAGAGAGAATCATCGATCGGCTGCCTCCTACACGCCCCCTACTGGGGATTGAGCCCACAACCTGGGCACGTGCCCTTGACTGGAATCGAACCTGGGACCCTTCAGTCCACAGGCCGACGCTCTATCCACTGAGCCAGACTGGCCAGGGCCCCACTACCTCTTTCCTGCCCTCATCCTGCTGCAGCCCGGGGCCCACTTCTCAGGGTTTACCTGCCTGATGCCTATCCTTCCTCCCAGCCTCCAGGCTCTCCTTGCAGAGGCCTCACCTGCATCGCCTGGCCCCACTGTGTGACTCGGTGCCTGGCACAGGGATGGGCCGCCTTAGTGGAGGTGTTTGTTGAATGACTGACTGATTTGGTCCTGGTCTCATGCTGTTAGTTTGTTTTGTGACTTGTCACTAATGGATGCCAGCTGTCTCCATTGTGTCCTGAGGGAACTAGAGATTGTAAAAAGGCTGTCCTCCCTATGGAAAAGACTCAGTGGTTACATGGGTATTACATGTGTGTTACATGTGTGTTACATCAACTGAAGCAGACCTCGCTCGGGAGGAGTGGGATGTTTTATTGGTGTTTGTTCAGGGAGCCTTTGCTGAGTGTCCTTGGGCCAGACATGTCTTAGGCTCCTGCCTCTGAGGGGAGCACAGCCCAGCACAGTAGCATGACACTGGCCTGTGCTCCACTGTGGGCACCGCCCTGGGGGTGAACGCGGAGCACCAGCACAGAGGCACACCGGGGGCAGGCAGGGAGGCTTTCCGGAGAAGGGGACTGGGTCACGGAGGTCGCTGAAGACCTGGGTAGTATGGCGTCCGTGACTTTCTCCTCTCTGTCCCTGGCCTCAACCAGGATTTGGAGCAGAAGCTGTTCCTGCAGGAGCAGGATTCTGCGATTGTGAAGAACATGAAGTCTGAGCTGGTGCGGTTGCCCAAGATGGAGCGGGAGCTGAAGCAGCTGAAGGAGGAGAATGCCTACCTGCGGTGAGTCGGGTGCAGGCAGTGAGATGGGCACAGGCGCTGGGGTGGGCGCAGGCGGTGGGGCGGGCACAGGCGGTGGGTGGTAGCCTCCATGGGTTAGCTCTCAGGGGTTCCAGTGTGCAGCCCAGTGCTCCTGGGGCTCCTGGACTCGTCCCAGGCTACATGGCTGTGTGAGTGACTATTTCTGCCCCCTCAGGGAGATGCGAGAGACCAACGGGCTGCTCAGGGAAGAAGTGGAGGGGCTGCAGCGGAAGCTGAGCCGTCAGGAGAAGATGCAGGAAAATTTGGTTGACCTGGAGCTGGAGAAGGAGGTGAGGGCCTGAGCTGGTGAGCTGCTTCCTGGGGGAGGCCTGGCTGCTAGAGGACTCGGGGTGTTTCACCTCAACTAGGGAAGCTGCTGTGCTGTGTGGTGGTCAGACTGCTGGCCCCCAAAGACGGCCATGTCCTAACCCCCAGAATGGTGCATCTGTTCTCTTAGGTGGCAGAGGAAACTAAAGGTGCTTGTCAGCTGGTCAGTGTGTAGTCACAGGGACTTGTGTGGGCAAGAGGAGGCTGGAGGAGGTTGGTGCGATTGTCAGGATTTCACCTGCCACTGCTGGTGGCACTGAAGATGGAGGACGGGACCATGAGCCAAGGACTGTGGGCACCAATAGGAGCTGGAAAAGGAGAAGAAATGGATTCTTCCCTTGCAGCGGTTCTCAACCTGTGGGTCGTGAACAATGAAAATACATCCTGCATATCAGATATTTACATTACGATTCATAACAGTAGCAACATTACAGTTATGAAGTAGCAACGAAAATAATTTTATGGTTGGGGATCACCACAACATGAGGAACTGTATTAAAGGGTCGTGGCATTAGGAAGGTTGAGAACCACTGTAGAGCCTCCTGCTGCTACCTTGATTTTAGCCCAGTGAGGCCCCTGTGGTCAGACTATTGAACTACAGGGCTCTGAGGTCGTAAATCTGTGCAGTTCTAAGCCACAGTAGTAATAGGAACACTGACACAGATGGTGTCTGAAAGGAACATTGTTGCCATGTGAGACCAGGAAGGAACATTGTTGCCATATGAGACGTGGAAGGAACATTGTTGGCGTGTGAGACGTGGAAGGAACGTTGTTGGCGTGTGAGACCTGGAAGGAACATTGTTGGCGTGTGAGACCAGGAAGGAACATTGTTGGCGTGTGAGACGTGGAAGGAACGTTGTTGGCGTGTGAGACCTGGAAGGAACATTGTTGCCATGTGAGACGTGGAAGGAACATTGTTGGCGTGTGAGACCAGGAAGGAACATTGTTGGCGTGTGAGACCAGGAAGGAACATTGTTGGCGTGTGAGATGGAAGGAACATTGTTGCCATGTGAGACCAGGAAGGAACATTGTTGCCATATGAGACGTGGAAGGAACGTTGTTGGCGTGTGAGACCTGGAAGGAACATTGTTGGCGTGTGAGACCAGGAAGGAACATTGTTCCCACTCCCAGACTTGAAGGGGCACCTGTGCTAAGTATTTCCTCCCTGTGTCTGCTGTCGGGATCACAGGTGGCATTTTGTGAGACCATGCAAGTTGTCAGTGCTGAAAACATCCAGTCCTGTGGGCAGATGAGACTGAGGTTCCCAGAAACTCTCTGTGTTGTCCAGTGCTCCTGAGTTTGGACCAAAATTTAGTCCTCCGGCTCCTGGCCCAGGTTGTTCTGTCCTGCATGGCTTCCCCGTGGTGGCACTCTGTCGCCCCACCTCTCTGGTTTGTTGGCACGAACCGTGCCACCACTGCCCAGCCTCCAGAGCGGTGAGAATGGTGCGAGTGCTCTCCCTCTCAGATTCCCATGCCACTGAGTCCTGCTGGGTCCGAGCCCCTGTGGCTGGACAAGGACCTTAGCCCACGAGGAGGTCCAGGGCCAGCCTGAGGCATCCTGTGGCCTGGGCAGAGCTCCTCTCTCAGATGCTGGCTCTTGTAGGAACTTAGCCTGAAAAGACAGCTCTGGAGCTGAGCAGTTTCTTCTCTGGACAGAGTTTATTTTGAAATTGGTTAAGATTTTGGCTCTAGAATCACGCCTAGTTTCAACCCTGCCATGGAAGCTTGCTGGCTGTGTGATCCTGGGCAAGTTACTTAACCTCTCTGTTCACCTACATGATGAGGAATAACAGTGTTGGCTGTAGTGCTGAAAGTACTAACCAAGTCATGCATGGCACTAATAGGGGCTCAGGAGAGACTTGAGTGATGAATGAATGCATTCAGAACCCTGTGCTTGGCTCCAGGTGAAGGTGACAGGAGGTCAGAGGCATGGAGTCTGCCCTCACCTTGGTTACGTTCTAGAGGAGCAGCTGTGTGAAACAAGGGCAAGCCAGCCTGTGGGCCGTGCTGGGCAGGGTGGGTGCCACCGCCCCCTCCTGTTCGCAGGGTGGCTCCCTCCTGCTGTGGGGCTGTGGGGCCTGGTCCTCCATGTCAGGGGGAGGAATTTGGTTCTAGGGCTTAGTTCGTCTGCCCTGTGGCTGGGTGTCCTGAGAGCCCCTGGGAGATGGAGTGAGGCAGCGGGTCCTCGTGGGCTCAGCCAACCGCAGGACCACCAGCAGGTCGTTCCCCGGCCCCGTCCTGGCACCGCCGGGCTCTGACAATGTGTGGGACCAGGAACAAACGAGGTGAAGCATGCAGCGTAGCTTCAGTGAGGGGGAAGCAGCCGCCTGTTTTGGAGCAGGGGTGGCGCGTGTCTCTTTTAGCTCAGGGACGAGGCAGGTCCTCTGAGCGGGCGGGAGCCTGTCCTCTGCCAAGGCCGTCGGGTATTTATCCCGTCGCTCCCGGGCCACATCCCACGGCCAACTTAGAAATGACGTTGGTGCCGGCCGGGGTCTCCAGCGCTCGGCGTGGCTCAGTGGTTGAGCGCGGACCCATGAACCCCATGAACCAGCGGGTCAGGTTCAATTCCCTGTCAGGGCACATGCTGGGGTTTCAGGCTTGATCCCCGGTGTGGGGTGTGCAGGAGGCAGCTGATCAATGATTCTCTCTCATCATTGATGTTTCTCTCTCTCCCTCTCCCTTCCTCTCTGAAATCAATAGGAATGTATATATTAAAAAAAATTATGTTGGTCTGAAAAAGCTCCTAGACTTGTTGACCTTTGAGTCCCGCCTACGGTTGCCTGGCAGGGCCAGACCAATGCTGCGGCCCTCGGGCGGGCGTTCCTGCCCTGCTCTAAAGGGTGGGTGACAGCCTTCACATCACTGTCAGTTCGTGGGGTGATCGTTGGTGCGGAAGTCAATGGGCACAGGGGGGTGGGAGACAGCAGGAGGGGCGTGGGGGTGAAGGAGAGCAGGAGGGCTGTGAAGCCCTTGCACAGGGGATGGTGGGGGCACGGTGCTCTGGGTTCCACCCTCCGTGTCTTTTCAGAGGCTGCTGGCGAAGCTGCAGAGCTGGGAGAGACTGGACCAGACCACGGGCTTGAGCATCAGGTAGGCGGAGGGGGCTGGCCCCGGTGTCCCCTTCTCGGTGCAGGTAGCGCCTGTGGCAGATGGGCCCTGCCTCCCACCCCTCTCCAGAGGCCCTGGGGCGGCTGCTGGGAGCTTCTTCCTCAGGCCGCTCAGGAAGTCGGCGCCCCTCCTGCCAGGTCTTCACAGCAGCCTCACCTGGAAACGAGGCGGGCAGGGCCGGACACCTGGAGTGGGCTGGCCCAGCTCTTCCTGCCCCAGGTGGCTTAGCTGACCAGGCTGCTCACGGCGGGCACGGTGTGAAGTCTGCCCTCGGCACCTGCCCCACGTGCTGCGCTTTATTCCCTTTCACCCTGGCCCCCACCCGGCTCCTGCTGAGAGAACCGGCAAGCTCGCAGCGTGTGATACAGAGCTCGCAGTAAGTGGTCTGGGCTGGAAACAAGTCTGCGTGCTCACAGCCAGGAGGTGCAGGGGTTTGGCCTGCATTGTTGGCTGAAGTGAAGGACTTTCTCTTGTATGAACTGAGGAAGAGATTGTTTCTGGGGAGCTCATTCCTATGAGGTGCTTGTGATGAGGGGCAGTGGACTGAGTTTTTAGGGGTGAAAAAGGAAAACACGGTGACAGAGGGCCCCTGCAGCGGCTTCCCCTGCTTGTCTGGTGGACCTAGTGCCTGCCAGCAAGTGCGGAGTGGGCAGCTGCTGGGGCTGTGGGGCGGCCTTCCCGGGCACAGGCCTGAGGGGCCGAGCTGGGCCTTGGTACTCTGGTGGGCAGACGGGCATCTTTACCCCAGCTGTCCTTCAGGGGCACTGCCCATCTTTCTCCAGCGTTGCTCCGCTGCTGCTGCCCAGGCCCCTGGCACCCCCCAGACCACCGCCTCAGCAGCGTTGTTTGCCTGGCTGCCCCCTTCTGGGGGGGTGGGGCGCAGAAGGTTGATCGTCTGGATTGGGCCTGTGCCTGGGCAGGGGCCTGTGGTGTTAGAGAGCCTCGTGCTGTTCACCTGCTCGCGTGGTTCTGAGGCCTTAGTTCCCAGTGTCTCCTGGAGCCTGGGCCGAGGGCGAGAGCCCCGTTAGAGAGCGAGCGGCCTGTGATTGCGCGGCGATCGCTGCTTCTCAGCCGCAGCTGCTCCCGCTGGCATGATGGGCTCCAGCTGTCCCCGCCTCGCAGGTCCTCCTCATTTTCCTTTCGTCTCTGAGTCAGAGGACAGACGGGCTGCTGTTTCCTCTTGAACTCCACCTGCAGAACTCAGACTCACAGAGGGCGGCCCAGCAGGGCCCACGTGTTTCACGCTTCCTCCTGTTCTCTGGGCTTATTAACTCTCCCGAAAGCTCCCCTCCTGCCCCAGGCAGACTCGTCAGGAGAGAAACCTCCGTGACTTCTCTCTTGTGCAGGAGATCAGAGGCCCCGCGGCAGATGAGACCAGCCTGCTGAGCGCCCTGTGGGCCGCAGCCGCAGTGTCGTCAGGCCCACAGGCTGCACAGCCGCGCATCGGCCAGGAGACCAGGGCTCCATGGCCAGGAGGGAAGGGCAGCCGCTCCTTGCTCCCTTTGGTCCAGTTTTCCTGTCGCTGGGAAGGGAATGCAGTGCATGCTCATGGCTCCTGGAGTTAAAGGCCGTGACTTAGAGCTGCTTCCCCTGGGAGGCTGCCTTCCAGGAGGCAGGAGACCTCCCCGCGGGGAGGGCAGGTGCTCTCTCCCGTGCTCTGTGGTTGGCTGTGCCTGGGCCCCCTCTGGGGCCCCTCGGGGCCCTCCACCCTCACCTTTCTTGTCCCCGCTGGGGCATCGGGCAGGCCTTCACCTCCGCAGCGCGTGCTCCGCTTGAGTGATCTGTGCGTCGTGTAGCAGGCAGTGGGCTCAGAGCCGTGCTGTGCGGATGGCCGTCACCAGAACCACCTGGGAGTTTGGCACAAACGCAGATCCTGGGCTGAACCCAGGCCCAGTGGTCAGCCTGTCCAGGCGCTGGACCTGAGTCTTGGGGTGACCTTGAACACCGTGATGAGGGGCCATCTTTTTGCTACTTTTTGGCACTTAGAGATTCTGAGCAGGGAGCCCTTACTAATGGCACTGAGTGTGGAGGTGGACGTGGCAGAGGGAGACAGGACGGGAGATGCCAGGGGGCCCTTCTGTAGCGTGGGGTCCCTGCAGGAGGGTCCGAGGGAGACAGGCACTGTCTGGGAGGTGTGTGCTGAAGTGATGCCACCTGGGTGATGGGGGTGGGGTCTGCCACGACTGGGTCTCAGCTGGACGCCTCTTGTCACCCTTGCGGGGTCCAGTGTCGCAGAGATGGCGGTGGGCTGTCTCAGACCCTGCAAAGGTGGGTAGCTGTCTGTCTGGCCCCACATTGGTCCCCGTGTGTGGTGTGGTCTCTCTGCCTCTGCTCCCACATCTGTAAATGGAAAGGCTTTTCTAGAACATTGGGTTCCCAGCAGGGGTCATGGGCCTCTGAGAGTTTGAGGAAGTCACAGACTTTCTCCTCATGACAACGCACGTTTGCGTGTGTGCACGCGTAGACACGACTTTGCGTGCCAGTTCAGGACCCACTACCCTGAAGCATGATCAGCCGGCTCTAACCGACGGCAGCAGTTTGGGGTTTGGGAGATGCCCAGAGCAGGGATCCGAGGGGCTGGAGGGCATTTTGGCGTGGCCTTCTGGGCTTGAGTCTGTTTAGCCTTTAGGTGAAGCTGTTGTCATTATCTTGGGACCGAGACCACTCATTTGGGGCATGTCATGAGCCCAGGCTCTAGTCCGTGTCCAGTGCCTCTGTGGGTTTTTGAGAGCTGTCACCACTAGGCGGCACCACGCCCCCCTGGCGATTCTGGCTCCCTGTGACCTCAGGAGCCGCCCAGTCCCTGGAGCTGCCCTGAGTTTACGCCTTCGGCTCCTCCTGGCCCACTGCCGGCCCCCCAGGCGACTTCCTTGCCAAAACCAGGTTTGGTTGTGCAGGAGTGGGGGGTGGTCTGCGGTCTGACAGTTCCTGCCTGCCTTTGGGTGGCCACCTGGCCACTGTTGCGTATCCCCCATGCTCTGTTCTTTTTATTTTTTTAACATGTTTTTATTGATTTTTAGAGAGAGGAAGGGAGAGGGAAAGAGAAACACTGATCCGTTGCCTCCCGCACCCAACCTGACGGGGGATCGAACCCGCATCTCGGGTATGTGCCCTGACCGGGAATCAAACCAGTGACCTTTCGGTGCATGGGACGATGCCCCACCAACTGAGCCACTCCTCAGGGCCACCCGCTCTGTTCCTGAGCAGCCACGTTCCGTTCCTGCACCCTTCGGTCTGTGTGCCCGCGTTTGGGGTGGGGGGGGGGGGTGGGGGCCTTCTCCGTGCGGAGCTCCTCTGGGTTCGCGGGGCTCTGTGGCCTCATGGCGGGACAGAGACCACCTGGAGAGACCAAGTCCCCAAGGTGTCCACAAAGAAATGGACTCAGGAGGGCAGGACAGTGGTCTCTCTCCTCCCAGTTTGGGCTTTCTTACATCCCAAGGAGCCCAGAGGTGCTGGGGGGGCGGGGGTGGGCGCAGTGGCTGGTGGGTAACCACTGTCGACCTGGAGGGGAGCCCCGCACCTGCCAGAGCAGCTTGTCCCCCATGGGGATGCCGACACCTGTCTCCAGCGCCTGGGCCGGGCGCCCAGGCAGGTGGGGCCTCATCTCTGCCTCAGGGTGTGAGGAATGGGCACAGGCCGCGTCAGGCGGGTACTGATGCGGGGGAGGAGGGAGTCGAGTCTAGTACTGGTGTTCTATCCCAGGACTGAGAAGGGGGCTTGAGGCATTCTATGGCAGCAGTGTGGGGGGGCGGCGTGCGGAGGGGGACGGTGTGTGGACTGTGAAGGGCTGGGCCGCGCCTCTGAGCAGTGTGGTCTGTTGGGGGAATGATTTGAAGGCACTGGATGAAGGTGGGCACCAGGAGGCACCCTTCGATGTGTCTGTGCCAACCTAGGCAGGATGCTGGGGGCACTGGGAGAAGGAATAACCGAGAGGGCTGGTAGGAGAAATGAGGGACAGTGCACCCGGAGTCAGGTGCTTATCCTCGGAAAGTTAATGCAACTCATTGTCGTGGAATAAAGGGGAGACACGGCCATCTCAGCAGATGCAGAAGCAGCATCTGTAAGCTGCAGCCTGAGGTGCAGTGGAGGCAGGTGCTTCCAGGCGAGCTGGGTGCCGTCCGTGGTTCTGTGTGAGCCGGGGCCCGAGCAGAGCCGCCATGGGAAGGGAGCCGCTGGCAGAGCTGCCATAGGAAGGGAGCCGGGAAGGGAGCCGCTGGCAGAGCTGCCATAGGAAGGGAGCCGGGAAGGGAGCCGCTGGCAGAGGAAGAAAGAAGCCTATCTTTGCTGGGAGGTGACGAGGTATTTATGCAGGAAATCCCACAGAATCGGTAAGAAGCCGCTGAATAAGTGAGCTTAGCGGGTCACAGGACCGAGGACAGGACACACACATTGATCTAACGTCTGTGTCCTGGCAGCCAGCACGGGAAGAACATCCCATTCACAGCAGCACCAGAAACATGAACTCCTGGGGGGGAAGTGAACACAACCTGTAAGGTCTGTGCACCGATGGCTGTCGCGGTTGCTGAGAGAAGTGACAGGTGACCTAGGGATGAAGTGAACAGAGGGAGGCATTGAGTTCGGGGACTGTCAGGGCGTCAGTTTGCTGGAGTTGCTCCACACGTGCCACCCAGTTAGAGTCCCCGCAGGCTTTCTCCCAGGAATCGACAGACTGATCGGGAGCTTCTCTAGAAATGCCCAGGGGCGGGACTGCTGCCGCACTGTGAGAGAGAGCAGCTACAGAGCGTTCAGTGGCCGATCCAGGACTCACCGGGACCGCGTTACTCACCACAGCGCACTCCCGGCGCGGACAGACCTGCACTCGGTGGACAGGATGGGAAGGTCAGGAACACCCACGAAGGTGGCGTGGATTGATGTCCGTGGAAGGCGAGGTGATCATTCAGTGGGGAGACTCTTTTCAACACTCGGTGCTGGGCCAGGGGGACGGCCGAGGCACTCCCGCCGGCGCAGACCTCAGGGTGCTA